TTTTTTTTAAATTAAATACATAAATAAATAAAATTTAGAGTTCAGGGTCTACAGTGTCGATAGGGTCTCATTTCACAGATTGGACTCGTAGTGATCCTCCTGTTTTCAGCCTCCCAAGTGCTGGGATTACAGGCGCCTGCCACCACACCCATTCTCAATCCCCATCTCAGCGCACCCTGGGGCGGAGCAGCCACAGCAAGGGGTGATCAAACCCCGGCTGCTGCACTCTACCTAAGCTGGTTCTTTAGTCCACTGAGCTATCTGCCCAGCCCTAAAATTTAGGTTTAAAAATAATTTTGCACCCTGTTATTTTTAATGTCTTTTTAACCTTTTATTCATTTATTTATTTGGTACAGGGTCTCACTATGCAGCATGGATTAGGTGATCCTCCTGTCTCAGCTCTCCGGCACTGGGATTATAGGTGTGTGCCGCCACTCCCTGTTTTGGCTGGCTCAGTGCAGAGCCTGTACTTACTGGGGATCGAATTTGGGTCCCCACACTTGCCAGGCAGGTGCTTAGACCACTGAGCTATCTTCCCAGCCTTGAAATTTTTACTTTCTAAGTTGATGACAACCCTCCCACACTGGAAACACTCAGCCCCATTGTTTTCACGTGTGGATGTTATATTCCGGTGTCACTGTCTATTCAGCCCCTCCAACTGGATAATTGTGTCCTCTTTTTAATACTAAGTATTATTGGGACAAAAGCCCTCGTGGTTAAAGCTGTCATCTGGATCACATCCTTGGGATGAATCTCTAGAAGTAAGACCTCCCGCTTGAAGGTTCTGTGGAGAAGTCCACATGACTTCCTAAAGCCTGGTGCAAAGAAGTGGCATGCATAGCAGACACCGAGAAGCATGGAGAGCAGAGGGCACCCGAGTGGACAGACAAGGCACAGGGGCACTGCCAGCTGGGATGGGTGGACACGGCCAGCAGCCACTCCTCTTCCACCAACCAAGGCCCAGGGCAGCAAGGGACTTGGCTCAGGGAGCCAGGTGGGCCACCCATGCTGCACAGAAAAACCAGATCAAAGGTGGCGATGTGACCCACTTCCAGACAGGACCTGCAGAGCCAGCAACACCCCTGCCAGGGCTCTCCTGAGCCAGCAGGCCTGGTGCACAGGCTAGAAGGCCCTGCCCAATGGTGCATAGTGGCTGTGGAGTACGCGGCCAGCCAGCCCTGCCTGCCCACAGCCCAGCCGGCGTCTGTGCTGCCCCTAGGGGCTTCCAGAACTGCATTTCACTCCCCATTGGTGACTGAGCTGAGGATGACCCTAGTCCCCCTACCCCGACTGGGGTGTCTTGGTCAACTCAGCCCCTCTTTGGGCAAGTGAGTAGAGGAATTGGTAGTAGAGGGAAGCAGAGAGAGTTATTATTTCTAAACTTATTTTTTATTTTGGTATCTGGTACTCAATCACTTCAGCTCAAAATAATCCTTATAACAAAATGCAGTACTTTGGGATGGTGGATTTTGGGTCACGTATTTGGGGGCAACATCTCAGGCCTCCCACACAAGGACTGTCCTCTCCTGGAGGGAAGGATTATGTTCCCCCTGTGAGGAGTCAAGGCAGGAGGGCTAGGCCTGGATAAGGCCCTTATGTAAATCTCTCACCCTTACTGCAGGCTGTAGGCCTCAGACCAGGACGCATCCTTCCACTTCAGTCAACGAACTCACTGTACTGGACCCAAGCTCCGTTCACCATCTTCCTCATGACCCCAGCCCCTCCCAAGCCTGGGGGCAGGAGCGCTGTGCTTCACTTACAGGAGTGAATGTGCAGGTTCAACTCCAGCACGGCAGGGTTCCCAAAGGTATGGTACCAGCACGTACTTCCTTCCACCGACGTTCCCAGTGGGCAGTTCTCAGGGCGCGCCAGCCCTCGTGTCCCCTGCAGGTGTCCTCTTTGGCCCTCTCCACCGGCGCTTCATCCCACCCACAGAACAGCCCAAGGACGGAGAGAGCTGTGTCCCAGGCTTGCTGATAAATCACAGCCAGGACTTCCTGCCAAAGCTTCTTGCTGTCCTGGAGGTGGGGGATTAAAAATGGCAGCTGGGAGCCTCCCAGAGAGCAGGTCTGCTCGGCCACAGCGCCCAGCCATCCTTGGCGAAGGTGGTCACAGAGTTGGGCAAAGTCACCAGAAACTACCCACAAGATGTTCCCTTCAATGACAAAAAACTGAAGCAGTCTACCTGGGAAGAGTCTCCTAAAGGCACACAAAGGAAACAGTCACCAAATCCTGGTGGGCCCTGGTCCAGAACACAAGGTGACGATACTTTTTGTCTGAGCGGAGTGAGACATTGTGTTAGTTGATACATTACGGCGTCAACTTGGCTGAATCAGCTCCGGCAGAGTGGGGGGCCTCGCCCTGCTTCTGGGGAGAAGCCTCAAGTCCTCGGAGCTTGGTCTTCGCAGCCGCGCCACTGTGGAGGAGCTCCAATCTTCACTGTGGAGGCTGGTCTTCGCAGTCAGCGCAGAAGGAAGAGCGAGGCTTGATGGACGCCGCCGCAGCTGCTGCTCCTCCTCTGCTCTTCATTGTTTTCTGCTGTGTGAACTGCTGTTTGCTTTGGAGCCAACGGAATATGGACTGAACCTCCAGTAACTGTGAGCTAATAAGCCTTTCCTTCCTTCATGCTGAGTGTCGGGCATTTGTCCCAGCAATGAGAGAAGAGTAACTAAGACAGACATGAATTAAGTTTTGACTACTTAGCACTCACTGAGACTGTCTCCTCATATTTCAAAATGACCTAGAATAGAAAGGAGTTCGCCTTTCCTCAGTTGCTGCGGAGGGATGGGGGTGAAAGGTTTGTGAAGGAATGAAAATGTTCTAACACTGATGGAGGAGATGGCTGCACAACCCTAAGAATGTGCAAAAGAGATCACTCAATGTGTGCCTTATGGAAGCAATTGTATGGTAAGTGAATTACAGCGCAGCAAAGCTGTTATTTAAAAGCTGGTGAGCAGCACACTTTGGGAAGTCTGAGCGTGAGCACAAAGAAAGGAGCCCTTGGGGCTGGAGAGATGGCTCAGTGGTCTAAAGCACCTACTTAGAACAAGCTTTGCAAAGCACAGAGACCGCGGTTCAATCCCCCAGCACCACATGCCAGCCAGCCCCGCCCCCTGGTGGGCTGAGCTGGCCACGCGCGCGCGCACACACACACACACAAATTAAATAAAATTTAAAAAAAAAAAAAAAAAACAAAAAACAAAGAAAGGAGCCCCAGCAGGCCTGAACAGCAGCAGCAGAGGAAAGCACTGGGGAAACCACAGGGCCACTGGAGGCCACCAGACAGTGCGCACCACAGCTCCTGGGGGCCACTGGAGGCCACCAGACGAGCCAGCAGCTAGCCACTAAGTTACCAGAGAGCCAGATTCCATGGACACCGCCAAAGGTCACACGGGGTGGGGTGGAGGGGTTGGAGGGGTGGGAAATGCCCCAAAGACGCCCAGGAAGAGGTCAGAGCCCAGAGGAAAAAACCGGCCTGCCCTCCTTCTTCTGCCCCTGTCCCTGCCGCCACCCACCCCGACCCCGCCAGTAAGTGCCCCTTCCCTTCCTTCATTCTGGAAGGTCCCCTCTCCCGGGAGCCAATTCCCAGGGGCCATGCTACCTTGACCTTTTGAATAGGAATTCAGAAGTCCCTGTCACACTGGCCCATGTCTGTGTGATGCTGCTGCCCTGGTGACAGAGCACTGTCGCTTTCCAGAGCTGCCTCCAGGCCACCCAAAGGCTTCCCTTGTGCTCTTTCCTTTTCTCTCTGTCCTTCCTGAAGTAATTCTGTTCAGTGGCTGGGGAGATAGCTCAGTGGAATAAGTGCTTGCTTGGTAAGTGCAAGGTCCTGAGTTCGATCCCTAGTACCACCAAAGGAAGAAAAAGAAAAAAGAAGAAGAAGAAAAAGAAGAAGAAGAAAAGCTGCACCTGTGCCTCGTCGGCTTCACCAAGAGCCATTTATTTATCCTTACAAAGTCCCAGAACCAGAAGCCCAAGACTGGGATGGAGGAAGCCGGTTTCCTCCAGGCTTAGTAGGCTGCCATCTTCCTGTGTCCCCACATCTTCCCTCTCCTCCTCTCCCCTGAAATGAGGACACTACTCATGGAGGTGGTGACCATCCGGAGGACCTCGCTTTATTTCATGGCCCTTTGAAGGTCTCAGCTCCAAGCACAGCCATGCTGGGGTGCGGAGGGCTGGGATTTCAACACAGAACCTAAGGCGCAAGGCTCAGCCTGTAACGCCTTGCTCTCCTGTCATAAAATAATGTTTATGACTCCTTTAAAAAGCCTCTCACCCTGCACAAAGAGGCCTGCGGAGGCTGTTCTATACTTTATACCACTGCAACAGTGACAAATGTCTCCAATGCAGCCATCATTTGGACTTTTACTAAAGAAGTTGTGATTTGCGTATTCTGCAGATGTCTGTATAACTATAGATTTTTTTTTTCTTCGCTTTGGCCAGCTCAGCCCACCCTGAGGGCGGGACTGGCGCAGCATGTGGTGCCTGGGATCCGCCAGCCTCGGTCCCCTGCA